GCAGCTGCCTACACATGCCAGGATCCGCCACTGCCAGATGCAGTTAGAAATTTACTAAAAACAAGCCTATTGCAACATGCACATGGTGTGGCCAGCCAAATTTCAGGGGGGCCGGTGCCACCCCTGGCCACCAGGTAGACACGCCCCTGTATTAAAGCTAGTCTGTTAAATTATCCTTTGCCCTAATGAAATTTAGTAGTTCTTGCATAGAATACAGATTACAGAGTAAGATGGTGGTCAACAGAACCATACAGATGACATTACAAGATTACAAGACACTGTGAAGAGTAATTACAATTTAATGAAACCATTAAAATGGAAAACAAATTAATGGAAAACAGAATTTGGTAAAAATAAATAAAACTGAATTTGAGGGGAAAAAACATATTTCATAGGGCCTTAAAATTTTAACTTTTGTTAAACTTTTAACATTGGCGATGAATGTAAAATAAACGTTAAAAAGAAGATTATTTTTGTGAGTGTGGATAATGGTCTCATGTGCAAAGTAATTTAATAGATTGACACACCAAAACATAAGATTAAATGGTGCAAACGGCTTTGTTAAACTTTTAATAAATTGGTGTCAAATTTCATAATTTCAATTAATTAGACATGCTTTTTGATTAATAAAAATGTAATTTAACCATTAAAACAGTCTAGAAAAATTTAAACATGAAAAAACGGAATCCAGAAAAAAATTTATCGGATTTCATAGGCCCACTACGAGACTATATTTGGAAAAGCATGCTAACATACTACTTACACACTGTTTTGTCTCATTATGTAATTGTACTGCCAAAAATGTAAAAATGCTTTTGCTTTCAAGATGATAAAACTAAGTCAAATAGCAACTGAAGTTGGAAGTCATATCCTGACTAAAAAAATCCAGACTTGTATTTTGAAGCAGTGCATCATTTGTATAGTTTTCACAGAATGACCTAAGCTACTCTGACTGGTTGGGTAAACATACAACTTTGGTAATTAACTAAACATAAAAAAAATACACAACAATCTGACCTTCAGGTAATATGAGCGGGCGAGGGCAGTGGGTCTTTGGTCCTCCGGTAGAATTTCCTCATCTTCCAAGTGATGGCGAATTACTTTCACCACATCCTCGTGAAAGGATTTCTGCTTGACAAAGCCACAAACGAAATCAACATTTCTAGTTTTGTTATTCTGTACATTCTGTAGCCAAAACAAGAGTTTGATTACAGTAATTCCAGGATTACGTTTGAGATTGGCTAGCTAAGATAAGTGCCAACAGAGATGCTAGTGATTAGTGTGCAAGAGAATATGCATTTATTTTTAGTTGCTTCTTTCAGAAATGGCGTCTCGAAAACGCATAACAAATAACATCTAGCAGTAATTACTCAATAGTTTCGCATAAAGCCCAAGTTTATGAGCTTTATGGGATTCCAAACACTCTTAAAGCATGGTGAAACTGCACAGCCAATTTAAACCATGGAATGTGGACCAATTAGTAAGGTCATTTTTAACTGTACAATCCCGCTCAAGTATAACTGGACTTTTTGTGTCTCAGAAAGCAGTTAAGAGTGCTTAAAGACTTTTCCCTTATGTTGACCTCAGATCTTAGACAAGCATAGACACTGAGTCTGTATAGAGACAAGAGTACAGACACCGACCAAGGATGTGTACAGGCCTTCATCAAACTTCTTTCCAATAGCACGGAAGTCGCAGACAGGCAAGTCTTCAACCACAGTGTTGGGGGAACCCATTGTAGTGCACTACAAAAGACAACAAATCTCAGAAAAATGTAACCAAGCAATGTTCCTTTTTATATGTATCCTGTTCATTTCCCGTAAATGCCCATTTTAAATACAAATGTTTAAACAACTATTCTCATTGGTTAAGCAATGTTTGAAAAAGAAAACAACAATTTACAAGCATTTCCTCTTGATTGGGCTTTGTAGGGCAGGACTGGTAAGATAAAGTACAAGAGCACAAATCGCAGAGAACCAGCACATTTTGACTAATGAATTCCAATGACTTTTTTAGGATTACGGAAACCCTTCATCTGGAAAGGCTCATGTTAGTCACAATGAACATTCTAAAAATGTATTTTGAAAATGTTCATGTGAAACTACATCATTCTAACTGATTTTTGAACAATCATCAGCAACGGACTGCTGCAGCTTTAAAAGTACAGCATAGGTTTAAGAGAAGTCAAAAGCTTTATTTGGATGGTAATTGTTTTTCATGGGGACGTGAAACATTTTCAACATTTATAGGGGACAATCTGTGATTTCATTGCTGTTCGAATCCAGAATGTCAGTGGTTTTCTTCCCACCACCCACATAATAAAAAACAAACAAACGGCCAAATTATCTTGATTGTGTGGTCATTTAAACCGTGCGTGACATGTGGCCAAGTATGGTTAGCCATACTTGGAATTAGTGCTCTGCATTTAACCCCATCCTAAGTGCACACACACAGCAGTAAACACACAAACCGTGAACACACACCCGGAGCAGTGGGCAGCCATTTATGCTGCGGCGCCCGGGGAGCAGTTGGGGGTTCGGTGCCTTGCTCAAGGGCACCTCAGTCGTGGTATTGAAGGTGGAAGAGAGTACATTCCCTCCCTCCACCTACAATCCCTGCCGGTACGAGACTCGAACCCGCAACCTTTGGGTTACGAGTCCAACTCTCTAACCATTAGGCCACAACTTCCCCTTTGTAATTGCCGTCCAATGCCACATATCTGAGTTTACAAGAAGAAAGTTCACCGTTTAAATATTTTTGCCCACTGCCAAACACTGTATGGGAACTGCTGCACTTTGCTGTAACTTGCATGCACATTTATTACTGAAATGCAGAAAAAGTATTTCCAAGAACTATATTTCATAACTGCTTCACCACAGTGAGTGGGAAATGTTAAAAACAAAGAAGAAAGAGAACCACATAAACATCTGAAATGAGTAGGGATGCACGATATTATCAGACCAATATCGGAATCGGCCGATACTGGCTTTAAATTGAAATATCGGCATCGGCCCGATATGTAAAATTGTGCCGATATGTATTGCCGATGTTAAATCATAAAATAAAATGTTACGGTTACCACTGCATCTTTCTGAAAAAAAAATGCAGCGATTATTATTTAAATAGTTATTTTCAAATCTTCAATGTACTGTCATTATAAAATAACTTTATTATTGTTTATTTAATTCTAACAAATAAGTTCTTGTTAAAAACTAACCAAAATTAAAAATTATTATATATCGGTATCGGCCAAAATGAGTTGAAAATTATCGGCAAAAATCCAATATCATGCATCCCTAGAAATGAGTCATTATTATGGCAGCCACAGGTATGCAATACAATTTTAAAATATGTATTATAAATAATTATATGCATAAAAATTCACACCAGGCAGCTTTATGTTTACCTAATGTAAATAAGAGGTTGCATTAACTTATTTCTGCTAATCTCCACATTTTTAATGACATCCACCATTTTGAGAGACAGAAAACCCATTTCAACTAGTGCATCTATTTCCTGTTTTTAAACAATCGCCATCCGAATCCTTGAGTTTTACCACATGAGAAACAATTACTGTCCGAATATGGCTAAAGAAATGTCATAATTCCCATAATCCTATATAAAAAAAATTTCAGTAACTATTTTTACAAATCATTTCTCACAAATAACAAATTGCTTATTAGCATGCATATTACTAGCATATTTGCTGTTTATTAGTAATTATAAAGCACATTTTAATGCTCTATTCTGCATGACCATATTTTAAGTCCCTTAATCCTACTCCACACCTAAATTTAACAACTACACTTACTGTCTATTAATAAGCAGCAGATTAGGAGTTATCCTCAGTTCCAAAGTATTAATTTAGCTGGAACTTACTCATAACCAGCATGTTCTCTAAGATTATTCTTACCATTCCTTATCTAATCATTACTAACCTACTCTCATGTAAAACTAAATTATTATAACTGCTTTTTGAACAATCAACAGAAACAGACTGCCGCAGCTTTAAAACTACAGCATACTAGGTTTAAGAGAGGGTTTAAAGTGAAAAGTCAGACGGTAATTGTTTCTCATGGTGACGCAAGCTATTTTCGACAATTACAGAGGTTAATCTGTGATTTTATTGCAAATGCTGGATTTTCTAAAGCATGTGAAGTTCACAGCCCAGACTCTTGATGACTGATGATGATGATCTTGAAAATGTTTATGTGAAACTACAGCATCTTAAAGGGATAGTTCACCCAAAAATGAAAATTGTCATTAATTACTCACCCTCATGTCCTTCCAAAACCTGTAAGACCTTCGTTCATCTTCGGAACACAAATTAAGATAGTTTTGATGCATTCCGAGAGCTCTCTGTCCCTCCCATAAACAACAAGGATCCTTACACGATCAAGGCTCAGAAACGTAGCAAGGAGATCGTTAAAATAATCCATGTGACATCAGTGGTTCAACCGTAATGTTATAAAGGTTCGAGAATACTTTTTGTGCGCAAAGAAAACTAAAATAACGACTTTATTCAACTATTCG